TCAGGTAGCTAATTGTCTCCATCATATATTGCTTGCTTTGGAAGCTGCTTGATTGTACTTCCTGCCTGATCAAGTAATATTATCTCCCTTCTCAGGCCTTCGATGGTGTTGAAGATTAGTCATAGTTACTGTACCCTTATGATCTAGCCAAGCCATTTCCTATACAAGACTTAGACTCCTTAAGATAGAATGTTTATTAAAACATTTAGCATATGTTCCTTGCTTAATATTGTTTATGCTGGCTATAATTCTAATAATACTTGATATCTGTCCCTAGTGTATATAGTTTTGTTTTGGGTTTGGAACTCCCTTATTGAAACAAAAGGGGGAGGTGCTGTGGGAGCACATTCCACTCCTTCAGCCAGTAGTCTTTAAGACACCAGCCCACTTGGGCATGCTCTCTTATACTGTAAATGCAGTTGTAAAGCATGCACTCACTCTCTTGCTTCTGACTCTTGCTTCCGGCTGCTAGACTCTGTTCCTGTTCCCTGTTCGTGCAGAGGACTGTTGACTAGGACAATGATCTGTAAGTTTTCCCTATATAAATAACCCTTTATTATTCAAAATTCTGAACTAGTGTGAGATTATTTTGTGAATTCTGCCTTCATTGTAAGAAGAGAAACACGCCAAGGATGACTTTCCCAGAGTGCATCATGAAGGCTGAAAACACCCAAGGAGTGATGATATGTGGGCAGGAAAGAACATGCTTTCAAAGGTTGAGGCCAGGGACATTTGGATCATTCCCCAATATCAGTCTATCAAGAATCTGAGAGTAAAAACAGCCCTTCTGGGCAGATACTTGGCTACCATTCTGTTTCTAGATAGGAGGCTTGGAGTGCCCTGCCTTACCCCTACCTTGGCTCCTGTGAGGACACTCCAGTATGGACCTCTCAGTAGCTTCCAGCCATCTTGTGCCCACACCCACTTTATCCAGACTTCTTCCCTATTTGCCAATGAAGTCGCCTGCCTCCTGTTGACACTCAGGCCCCACCACTCTTGCTGTCAAGATTCTAAACAGCAGCCAGATACAAAAGAAGGATAATCAACAGGGAAGTCTGTAAACACAGAAGCTAGACAGAATAAAGACTGGGCCCCTGATCTCAAGTAAGAGTCAAGCAGCTAGGGAAGCCAGGGTGAGAGCATGCTAGGCATGGGCAACATGTGCCAAGGTCTGGTGGTGGCAGGAAAGAAAAAAGCTCTATGAGGATAGAACACAGGAGCCCTGGGGCCTGCATGTCATGCCTGAGGTATGATGGAAGGCCCTACTGGGGTTGACCAGAGGTTGACACAATCAGTTTTGTGTAGAAACTTGCAGTGTGTGGTGACAGTTGGACAGTATCAGTGTGGATGTTGGGAGCTAAAGGGCAAAGCCACTGCACAACATGGTCCTGGTGAAAGCAGATGGGCACCTGAAAGGATGACTTTGGGGAATCGAGTGGACCTACTGACATATAGTGTCTGGAGAGTAAGGGAGCCAAAGACATGAGGGCCACCAGCTAAAGCTACTAAATGGAAGAATGGACTCTGACAGTGGAGTTACTCCAGGTTTTGGCCAGTCTGGCTTCACAGTGCCCATTACACCTGCTGAAGAGAAAAATGAATCTTGCTCTAAGAGCCCTGAAGCCTACAGCAAGATACGGCTCTCTGGGTCTCTAAATAGCCACCCACCTGGCACCTGACAGTACAGACTGGGAGGAGCTGTCTGTGGTGAGGTAAGTTGCCTTGCTGCTGGGCCAGAGCCTGAGTTTCTCACGGGACAGGATGACTCATTGTGATAATTGAATTTTTGAGTTAGGCTTAAAATACGGCCAAGATTGAAGAGGTAATCTGGCAGGGCCAGGTTCCCAAAGGCAGGCTTCTTGGCCTCTACAATACCAAGACCTTATTAACAAGATCACTCTTTCTCCATTCATGGGTCATTTACAAGCAGCTCTTAGGGCTGCTATGTCAAGGAATTCAGTTGTTGGTCTCTGAGCCCCTGCCCTGGCCTCCCAGGACATTGTACCTGCAAGTGTGGGGAAGAAAAGCTCATAACACAGAGTCTTTCAACAGACAGCATTCTTGAGAGAAAGATCCAGAAGGCGGAATCATTCAGAGAGCAGAAAACGGAAGTAACTGACTGAGCGACTGCACCTTGGGCTTCGTGGTGGGGCAGAGACTGAAGCCCACTCCCGAGATAGAGAGGGCACGAAGCCCAGCCTGTCTCTGCTCTCTAGATATTTAGCCGCCGCAGCCGGGTCTCTCAGGTGCGGCTGCTCAGGCACATGTGGTGATTAAGTTCACCAATGGGAAACTGATGCATTTTTTTGATTACTGCTTCAGAGCCTCTTGAATTCAGCTGCTGGTAAAATTAACTCACCAGGGACAATGGAACATTTTCCAAGGTCCAAACTGTCTTTATTTGCAGTTTGTTCTTGGCCCTCATCCAGCCAAAACAAACCAGCATGCTTCCCTCTGCCCCGGCCTCCCCGACAAGGGAGGGCTTCCTCTAGCCCAAGTCTGGAACTATTTTAGACTAGAGAATAATATCAGTTACTCTGGACGACTGTGCTGCCGAAAGTCGGTGGGAGACCTGAAGTGAGGCACCTCTGGGCTTCCAGATATTCTGCCCTGCAGCGTCTGTTCCCAGGTGCCTCAGATTTAGTGGCCAGAGGTTCCAAACTCCAAGTTCATACCCTTGCCAATGACCAAGGTTGGCTATCATGGGCAATGTGCTAAGCATATGCCCGGCAGGGTAATACTGCTCACCATAGATACACCTGAACCCAGGTCCGTCAGCCGGCCTGGCCTGGTGTTCCCCACAAGCCTGTACTAAGCATTGGTCACACATGCACTTGTGTACATCTGACAAAGGCACTCTAGACAGCACTGCAGAAACTGGCCCGAGGTCAGCACTGAGACACCCAAGAAGAGATGCTGATTTAGGACAGCAGTCTTATTGTTCAGCTAACTTCGGTTTTTACAGCTTAAGACACCAGGACTGAGTGGAAAGGAGCTCCCACTAAACAGCTGTGCAAATTAAGGACTGAAGCATGAAGCTGGGAACCAGAGGCCAGACTACAGCTCTACTCAGCAGACAAGCTTCTAAGGAAAAGGGGTGACTTGTATAGCAAGGAACCCCACATGAAGTAGTGCCTCCATCTGCTTTTTCACGCACTGGCACATCAGCAAAAGATACAGCTGTACAGAAGAGGGCACAGATGACAGGAGCCCATGCAGGAAGAGGCTGGCCCACTGAACAGATGGAGCCAGAGAGCCGCACCTGGGCCTCAGCTCTCTAGCTGAGCAATGGAGGCCCTTGGCAGGGCAGCAGAGGAAGCCAGTTTGGAGTCTGGATGGAAGTGAAGAATGGCCACTGCAACTGCCAGCACCAACGCTGCTCCCTCCATGTGTGTGTGTGAGGGGGGCGTGGAGAGAAAAAGAGAGCGCCTTAGAGAGAAAGCCTGGCATTCAGTGTGGACACAAGGTGCTCTCCAAGAGCTCAGGGAGTAGTGAAAAAGAAAAGTGTGCCAGCAGGGACTGCGAAGGGGGCAGAGAGAAAGACAGTGCCTAGAATCATAGTCTCAGGATTCCAGCATGGAAAAAGATTTCCCAAGGCCCAGTCAAAGCTGGCTGGGAAAAGAAGATGCAGAGAGAGGCTTGCAGAGAGCCTGTGGTCTGGCTGAGGCTTGGAAGACAGCAGGGATATCTTAGGCTGAGACAGTAAGCTGGCCTGGAACCTGCCAGAAGCAAGGAGGCAAGAGGAGAGAGTGGTAGCAGCCAGACCTGGGGGCTGTGTGATCCCTGCCAGCGGCCTGGCCCAGAACCAGAGGGCAGTGGGAAGGCTTTGTTTAATGCTCAAGGATCCATGCCACTCAGAACAAAGCTGAGAATCTTAAACATGAAAGTCAGTGACAGGGCTGCACCAAGTGTACGAGGCAGCAACATGGACAGCTGAGGAGACTAGCATCACAGGGCAGTGCAAAAGTCAAGTCCCAGCTCCAGGTCTCATTCTGTTTCCTAAATCAGAAACAACTCCAGCCTAGAAGATGGCTCTAGGGCAGGTTGTTAGGAGCTAAGGACCTGCCTGAGGAGGCACAGTGCCAAGGCAAGTCCACATGGACTTCTTTTCCTCTGGATTCTGGAGTGGGCTTAGACGTATGTGAAAGCTGGGCAGTGGTGGCGCAAGCCTTTAATCCGAACACTCGGGAGGCAAAGGTAGGGAGATCTCTAAGTTTGAGGCCAGCCTGGGCTACAGAGTGAGTACCAGGATAGGCTCCAAAGCTACACAGAGAAGTCCTGTTTTGAAAACAAAACAAAAAACAAAAAAGGAAAGAAAACAAAAGAGTATGTGAGTGTTAGGAAAAAATCCCAAGACGAGCCACTCCACCGGTGCAAAGAAATCCAATTAGGTCAGATTAAACCAAATTAAATGCCTCTGTTTTATTAAATACAGTGCTCTCGGTTAGCTGAGAGCATGGTGGAGAGACAGGAAAGTGGGGAACACAGACAAACCGGGAACCACGTGTTTCTCCTTTGGTAACCCACTTAAATACCCTGTGGGAGTGGGCCTGACCTTCCCCTGGGGAGGGTCAGGACCTGGCATTCTGGGATTTGGATCCAGACCAGTGTTACTCCCAGACCAGAGGCCTGGGATGGATGCCAGGGGGCTGGGGTTATGCTCCTAACTTAACAGTGAGATCTGCAGGCCCTGCTTCTGGCTCCTAAGACATTGGTGTAAGAGTTCAGAACCTTAGCTCGGAGGCTCCACCAGGATGGATCATTTAAGGAGACAGTGCTGCTGGAAACTGGGTCTTAGATCTGGGGTGGATGCGGAGCCCATCAGATTTGCAGGAAACTCCAGATCACAGGATCCAAAGCTCACGGCCTTTATGGCGCCTGACTGCAGAGCAATGGAACCTTTGAGAAAAGAACCTCAAGCCAACTTTCAGACAGAAATCACTGCACGACCGTGCTTCCTTCACCATCAGGAGCTACAGTGAGGGCAGAGGCAGGAGATCTCAGAACCACAAGCTTTTTTTATTATTATTTTATTTTATTATTTTTATTACTGTTGTTGTATTTATTATTTCATGAACCCGGTCTGCTGGGACTGGATGTTCCTGAATGGGTAGTCCTGGTCCTTTGCTGGGAAAAGAGAAAGAGAGAGAATATGGGTCATGGACTGTCTGAAGTAAAATACTGCATTCACTTATTCACTCATTCATTCACTCCAGGAGGCTGATGCACACATGCCTCTGCGTGGGTTGCTCTTTGCTGGAAAAGGAATCACGAGTGTCCACTGAGGACAGGTGTGAGATAATGGAATGTTTCGTGCTCTCTGGGCAGAAACTACAGCTGCTTGTGGAAGCTGTAATCCTTGGTCACACCTTTGACTTTTTTCTTCAAAAGAGGACAATCTAGACATCCCCAGCCCCTAGTCACCCAAAACTTTCAGTGCAAAAAACTCAGGGGCCACTACCTCCAGGTTTCGTCTGGCCTTCTGAAGGACTTGGTGGGTGATGACCACTGAGGAAAAAACAAAGAAAGGAACAATTAGAGCCACAGACCTCAGAAGAGGAGAATAAAACCAAAGCCAGTGAGGGGGAAGCCTGGACCCAGACAACTGGATGTCTGAAGGGTCTTCAACAGGCTCATGTCTGAACACATGGCCCTCTGGTGGTGCTGGTTTGGAGAGTGTCCTAGTGTCACTTATGTTGTTGTGATAGAATATTCTGGCAAATTGCAACACCGATAAGAGTCTATATTAGCTCACAACTCTAGGCTACAGTTTGTCTCTGCAGGCATCGAGGCAGCAGGAGCTTGAGACAGTTGGTCACATTCACTGTCAAGGGCAGAGAAGCATGCATGCTCTGGCTTGCTTGTGTTCACTTCAATTTCTCTACTACTACCAGTTCAGAATTCCCCTGCCCAGGGAACTGCTGAGTCTTCCCATATCAATTAACTTTAGTAAGAAAGCCCCCTCCAGACATGCCCACAGGCCAACCCAATACAGACAATCTCCCATTGAGACTCTCTTCGCAGATGATTTTAGGATATGTCACACTCGCGATTAAAGATGATCATCACAGAGGCTTAGGAAACTTTTAGGACTGTGACCTAGCTAACAGAAGTGGGCTACTGGTGCCATCGCTCAAAAGGATATGTACTTTTGTCTCTGGCCAGCACTCTAGATTTTCTGATCCACCAAGACATAAAGGAACTGTAAGCTTACACTACCCCAGA